TTCAGTAAAGAAGGTGTTAAATCAAACCTAAAGTTGTTTTAAGGTTTGATTTAAAGCAATTTATGTCCCTGAATGCGAAACCTCACAAAAAACCTTCTGTCATTTTAGAGCCTCTCAGCCTCATAGTTGAAGCTTTAATGAGTCTTTTCTACAAAAATGCTGCATTTTTGATAAAGACTGTGTTCAGCTAATGAGCTGTTATTTGTACAGTCACAAATTCTTTACAGCCCTCTTTTTATGATTAAAGTTTTCAGTGTCATTCCGGCTGAAGCACTGTCAGCTAGTCAGTCATTAATTATTTCCAAGGCCTGTTGATGTAGCTGAAAGGGTTGACATGATATTGCATTAAACTGAAATCCATTTGAATAAACCATTAAAATAAGTATAGTTTGACAAACAGGGTCTTAGTCATCAGATATTTCTGCAAAGATCAACTGACAGTAGAAATGAGCCCATTATTTATGTGTCACATTAAGACGATTTTGAAAAAAAATGATCATGTCGAATTGATGAGAGTTACCACCAACCATCGTGTGGGATTTTTATATAACCGGTGATACTGTGCAGCTTAACTTTAAGAAGTGGAGAATTGTGTGATTGAAAACAGGCTTCACCTCTCTACATGATGAAAATAGGGTTTTATCTGAAGTATTTCATCCATTTTGACTTCTGCACATGAATTTTGCCGCCAACAACTCCTGCGTATGAAACAAGAATCCGCATGCATGTGATGTTTTTCACAAAGGTAGCAGCAAGAAGAAGATAAAACGGTAAATAATAAAGATTTTATATACTGAAAAGACTGCGTGCACCTATCCACGTCACTGGAGGTAAGTCCACTCGTACATAAAAACTAAGGTCAGTTCATTTCACCATTTGCAGAAGAATTGCAACATTTTCTCTGTTTTGAAGTTGTGGATTTTACTCTGTTTACAAAGACACATTTTGCTCTTCTTCATTATTGTTTGGTTAACATTGTACTTTTTCCCCAGGAGAGCAGCATCCACAGCAGAAGTAAAAAATCAAAGGCAAAAACAACAATACCTGCTCGCTCTTATTTGCTGCACTTGAAAAAAAATGTGTTGAACAAAAGTGTTTGGCCTTCAACTGAGAGAACGGCATGAAAATGTTTCGGTAAGTTTTCACAGGGACGCAAACCCACCTACAAATGTGATACGACCTGCATTATTAGAGGAATTGCTAAATATATAATCGCAAGACTTCATTGAACAGGGCAGTGGAGTAGCAGGAAAGAGATATACAAAGTCAATAATATTTAAAGTACAGCAAATAAATATTAAAAATCGGCATATAGGTGCAAATAAAGAAGATCTAAGTGTCTAAATGTAGAACAACGGAATGCAGGATAACAGGATCCACCAAGATTGTACAGAAACATCATGCAGTAAAATGAAGATGCACACAGATTTTATATCTAAGTTGGAGATCACTGTATACATGTGTGAAGTCTTCTGGTAGTTTAAAACCAGGTAACTATCAACATTTCATATACATGTTATATAAATATGTATTAGAAAGATTGCTGTGTAATGTGTTCCTGTACCATCATTTATGTGGCAGACTAGTTTTACTACAGCCAGTCTATTAGATGGTTGTTACTTGGCTAAAAGCAAATGCAGAAGTCCTGCAATAAAACTCCACTTTTATGAAGATTAATTCAGATTTAATCCATTTCTGTTTGTAATTTCTAGTGCAGCTTAATTGTATTGCTGAAAAGTGTTTGTCATTTGGTCTAACCAGTTAACATCAGTGACACTAAACAACAATTCCATCCATCCAT